CGATCCCAATACGAAGTTCGCGAACATCAGGGATATCCATCGGGCTCAAATCGAAGCGGGTGAAAAGGAGGTTATCACGGCTGAATCCAGCGACTCTGAATGCCCTAGTGAGGCTGGCAGCTGTATTGTAGTGGGTGTGGTTGAGGATCAATAGTTAATAGTAATGAGGAGGTTGGGTTGTGATCCCATCGTTTTTGTGGTGCCAGAAACAGGGGGGTGCCAGGAAGTGGGTATGTTGACTTACGGCTTATCAACGGCTATGTCGAACTTTGACCTATTAGGCTTCGACATGCCAGAATTTGGCATGCCTGGCTTTGAAGTATCGGAATTCAACATGTCGGATTTCCACATTTCGAACTTCAACTGCGACATGCCTGCCGATGGAATTGCGCCGGACGCATTCAAATGGCTCGACGAGAATCCAGGGCCTGACGTCGTGTCTGCCGTTGCACTCGTCCCCCCTGTTGCCGAGAGTTCGCCTTTTCAAGCCGATCTTGACATGCTTGACGACGCCACCGTGCCTTACGAGCGTAAGAAGTGGATCTTGGATGTTATTTTGAGTAAGTCGGCCAAGGGAGTTTTGCATCTAAGTCTTACCCTAAACTGACATGGCCCTTATAGACGACATCGTTCCCTACCGTTTCCACGACCACCTGCGACTCTTTCCTACTCTTGAGTTCTACTCAACCTTGCTGTATAACCGGCTTGATAGTAGCGCTATATGGGGTCTCGTGGCAAGGTTCCACGAGTGGATTTCTAGTGTGGCAGCCTCCTCTGCCGAAGATGCGGATGAAGCCATCGAGGCTTTGAAGCTTCGCGCAAGTTTCTGTGGCTGGCCGGGCGAGTTGAACGATGGCTTCAAAGGTTCAAGTTCTACTCAGCTTTTCAATGAAGGCTCGGCTTCGAAGCAGCAACAGATGGCTACCTCGTCTCCTTTCTCTCCTCAGACGGTACATGCGGTACCGGATGTAGGCGAGTCCCAGCCGTCCCCCATGATGCAACAAAAGCATCCCCTTTTGGAGGCGGAGCTAGTCATTGCCCCTGTCTTCCAGTATAGAGGCATTATTCGGAACATAGAGCATTCTAAAGAGCTGGATAATGCTTATGAGAGGCACGTGACGCGAGTCGCGGGTGAGGCTCCTGACAACGACGCATCTTGGCCGTTTTCGTCTGAGCAGCAACAGGCGTATGTCCAGAGGCTCTTCGAAAGTATTACAGACTTGGATGACTTCTTCGAGTTGAGAAAGGCCCGAGAGCGCCTTGGCAGAGTGGCAAACTTGCAGCAGGACGTCCCGATTGCTCAGGCCCTTGAGAACCCACGAAAGCGACGGAGAGGTGGCGATGCCCAGGGCGGCGCTCTGGATCCTGCATCAAGACCCAAGGGCATGAGCAAAACGGATTGGGCTCTTTTGAACGATCAGGGCACTCCTGTAGACATGCTAGAGGCCGTAATTCATCACCGCATCTCCGGCGTCGAAGTGGAAATGCTTTGTTGGAGACTTTTGGTATGTTGTACCTCTGCGAACTTTTCTTCTTCCAAGCCTGTACCTACTGACCTTTGAATCAGCGTTGTGCCATGGAACAGCAACAAGGTTTCACAATGCGCCCTATGTGGTCAGGATCGAGAACAGTGTCAACGTGGGAACACTTCAACACGTTTTCAGACAGATGGCAGGCCATCTGTGAAAATCTTCAGGTATCTTCACAAGACTAATTGACAAATGCATCAGCATTTCTAACACATTTACAGGACTGCAAAATGATAGTCCACTCCCTTACTCGTGCAGACTGGTTCTGCAAGTATGCTGGTGCGCCGTCAAAAGAACGAGGGGTAAGTTCTCTTTGTAGACACGATCAAGGATTCTTTTCTGACTAGACCACAGGCAAAACTCAGTAACGATCTTCTGAATGGCCGCCGCGACATTCAGAACCAGGTTGGTCGAGACATCATCAGAGAAAAGACGTCTACGCAAGATTGGACAACCTCTGATGATTTCGAGATTCGGAACAAAGCTGGAGAATTGGTTCTGAAGGGGGGACATCTTGGGGATAAAAAGCGCCGACAGCTCGCAGTCAGAAATAAGGAGTAGATTGGGCTTGACTATGGCAGCGCAGGGGTATACTCAAATACCATTCACTGGCGATGGAGAGGCTCTTGGTGCTGCACTGGTGCTCAGGAGACTTTCTATGAACCTAGACTTGAAGAACGGGAAATGTGGTTTGGTCTCTGATCGCAAAACACAACGTTCTTTGGTGGGACATGAAGCTCGAGGACACAATTCTATGTCGTCTGCACAGACCTGCAAAGTACCACATTATTCTGCTAAAGCTCTGTCAAAGCGACGATAACTGATCGTGGGTGTCTATGTGTTATGTGTTCTTTTGCATTAAATGGCCACCTTGGGTTTTCCTAGTCTCGATAATACCTGCTTTATTTCCTATGACCACTCACAGTCACCTCGTATTAATCCGAATATGGACATACAGGCCAAAGGAGTATTTCTCAGACGATATAGAGCGGCCTTAAACCATGTTCGCATTAGTAGCCAGGCTTATCACATCTCTGCATCGACTTACTACATGGTATCATGCAGTGCCTAGATACTTAAGCTCCTAGGTCTAGAGCTCATGCTTGATTGGAAAGGATTGGCTGAGCAAAGTTGCAGCTCCGATATTTCTTTCTGTGTGGCGATAGGAAATACCACCAAATTACAAGGGTGCATGCAGTGAAAACGCCGGTGACCAGGAAGTAGATCCATATGTATCCTGATACAACAGACTTCTTGTCGTCATTTGTAGACCAGTCGAAGAATGTCATTGAGAATAGCGTCTATGCATCTTGTCAGTCTTGATAGGACTTACAAACTTCAGCAAGATGAGAGAACCCGATAAACTCACAGCGAAGAATGTCCCAGGCAGGAAGATCATCGTCACCAAAGCAATGGATCGCATTTGTCTAGAATCACGGCCTGTTGCAGTTGCAATGTCCACATTTGTATCGCCCTGGGCCTATATTCATGGTCAATATCACAGCGACGCAGGTCTAGAGTCTTTGCGTAGATTGAGGTTGCGCCCGACTTACCCACTGTGTTGCGATGGTCATGCCTTCCACACTCATCGTACAGTCTTGAATTCGGTCCTCAAACTCCTCGATGAGAACATTAAGTCGGTCACTGATCATTGTTCCTGTAGTCTTCATGCACCCATTTTTCTGGTCCCTAGGTTCATTGTCGCCCGACTTCTCATTCTCATTGTAAGGAGGATTGTGGTCAAAGCCCAGGGGTTGAGCAACGTGATCGACCATTTTTCGAAGCTGAACTTGCCACATCCGAAGGCTGTTACGAAGATAAGTGGTATTCAACCATGCTGTTCTCCGAGAACGCCTTGTATTGATCCTGTTCTCTTCTTGAAGCGTGTCGCCTTCAATTGGATTTCCGGTGCCTAAGTCGAATATGGCCCCTTCGATATCGTCTACTGTCTTTTCAACAACCTTGATCATGCGATCTCTTTCTATCTCTGCAAATATGCCAGGAAGAATCATAGGATGGCATACTCGATCTTTTGCCCGGCTAAGTCGGTTGAACACATTCTTTTCGACATCCGCGGTACATCCAAACAGTATTGCAAAGGTCAGGTGGCTATGGGGAAAGTAGGTTGCCGTCAATGCCATGTCATCTGCCCAGGTATTGGAAGATCTGCACTGATAGACTATAGATATGTTTAGTTTTGAGAGGCGTCAATGGCCGAAGTCCAGACTTTGACATACTGATTGCAGGGTAGTTGGTCGATTCTAACTCCTTGACATTGACGGAGACCTGAGACTTAGAGAAAAGAGAAACATCGGCTCGGCTAATGACTCGTGATATTGAAGGATGCACAAAAAATCTTTCGCAGATATCTTTGAATGTGGTCTCATCGAATGGTAACCGTCGAACGTCTCTCTCACCTCCCTTGAAGCTGCTGTCTTTATGGATGTGGAGCTTTCCACACTGAACACCATGGTTCAATACAGTTTCGTTCTTAGGCCAGCTCAAGGACCGAGCTTTCTCATTGAAAGTACCTTGTAGGCCGCTGGGTGATTTAATGAAACAGGAGTCTGGCTCCCTTGAGGCCAACTTCCCGATATCACTTTGCGGTTCACCCGGTTTCCGAGCAAAACTTCATTATAACGTATTCGTTAGTCATAATACTTGGACTAAAAGTAGCCAAAATTACGCACATGAGAACAAGCCCGGAATCTCTACTGACCGAGGGAGAGTACTAAGCCATGGCGGTGAGTGTGAGTTTAGTTGGCACTGCGGACCGAAGAGACCTACATCTTGGAGCCAGGATTCCCAATCTTCCGCTGTCTTATGAGACCAGACGACTGGGCCCTTTTTGGAGGTTAGCTCAGCTTCATACTCCCGGCAAATGAAGCCACTCACGCAGTCTTTCGTTAGGAGATTGACCACAGTCGTGGCTTGAGGGTTATATCGGAAAACTCTCTCAAAGTCGGCCATTATCAAGCCGCACTCATCTGATGGCCAATCCATGATAGTTCAAATGATGCTATCATCGGCATTATTCCAGAGGTAAACATCGACAAAGAACAGGTTGATGCAGCAAGATATCGAAATCATGCAGGCTTCTGCAAAGCGTGATTGATCACATTCGGGTAAGCGAGACGAGCACGAGTGCTTCGCCCTTATGCAACGTACTTAGTCGTGGTAGGGCAAGCTAATTGCCAATGTCGCACAACACATCATGAAGTCCCTGTTTGTGTGAGCTCAGCCACCTCCTGCTGACATGGGGGGACACCGAACTATTATGTGACCGGCTGAGTCGTAAAAGGCGGTCGTGGCGGTCCAAATATTTGCCTCATGAGCAATCTTGTATCGGGGACTCGCTGTTTGATTGGCGGCGGAAGCCACCAGTCACGGCGGAAGACGGTCTGGAATGTGGTTCGCCACAGATCTCGAATGGGCCGCCTAAGCACGCCGCGGGTGTATGCATGTGCTGGAAATACAGGTTCTTGTTTGGAACGATGGAAAATTTTGCTGACAGTGAGACATCTGGATTGTATGATGGCTCCTTTCGTCGCCGCTTGTGGTTGTAACGTCCTGTCCAACTCCGTAGTCTGTCCTCAGTGACAAACGGTATTCCCCTAGCCTTTCAAATCCTACGTTGCCGCCTTTTCACGGCAGAAACAAGATTGTAATTATGGCCAATTCATTTTTTTCGTTTCAGAATAATCTTGAGCGTGGCGTGATGCATGTGAGTTGGCATATCGGTTGATCTTTTTGGGGCGTGACAAATCTGGGCTTTCTGCAGGGCTCTCAATGGAATGCGCATTTTCGCCCAGGCTGATATTGGGTTTCATCACGAGACCACCACTTGGAATTTCCCTACAAAATCCGAGTGGCCAGAGGCTATTATTCTTGACGTCCTGTACAGATCTTTGATTGAATCCCAATACACAACAAATCATCCAGCTGACACCGCGGAACTGTCTCAATAGTACATAATCTTTTCGCTCCATACTCGAGTTCGGCGTTCTTACCCCTGTGACTATGGCGACAGAGGTTTTTCGCGGCAGGTACACTGATGAGTCGGTCATATCACAGTACCTCAGAGTAATATTTCCGCGCCAGAAATGCCAAATTTCGGTAATTGCACTTCTATCATGATCACTCAATACATATAGACTGTGTCCGTTCTCTTTTCCTGACCCTGTTTCGCCACTATAATAGTCAGAAAGAGGACGCTTCTTTTGTACTATCCCACGCAAATTGACGCAGGTATGGCAAGCTATCGAGTCAGCCGATCAAATTTATCATATGACACGCCCTTTGCTAACCATTCGACCTCAAGAATGAGAAGGAGACGATTCTGAGAGCGATCGAAGCAGATCATTATTCTCAAATGAATTAGGCTCACGGGAAATAATCGCCAGAAACCCGAATCCCAATAACTAGCACTTCAGCTTCTGGGGGAGGGGGGAGGGGAAGCGGTTTTCAGACATATCACAAGCCGGCTGACGAATTCGATGTATGAGTCTCAATTGTCTTTCTCCAGATAAGATCCCTACGGATAAAGGATTGGTTTATCTAAGCCGTGATTGGCCATCCTTGTACCTAATGATGTTGTTCAAGTGACCGGTGTCGATGTTCCCAATGTGATTTAGTGCAACGTCGTTCAGTTGAGCGCGCACAGGCAGGTGGGGTTCGATAGAAGCGGTCGAGGACCCAGGAGCCATGCAGTAATCCCATGATCCACAAGCGTTTTCCATTTCTTTCATTCTTTTGAACAATTCCGGTGCCGCGATTCGCATCTGCTTGGGTGTTCGAGACTGGACGATCAACATCCTGACCTGTATCAAGTCTAACATGTCTTGAAAGTACTGCGAGCAGTTCGGAAGCCTCCGGAGTCGAGCAACTTCCTGTATCGTGTTAAGGAGGGTCCGCGACAATATGTGGAAAGACACCTGCACTCACCCTAGTCACACTCTCCTTGATATCCACAGCGTAAACGAGCTTTCTTCGTCCCTCAGTCTCTTGATTGCCATCCTTGACCTGGACGATATCAAAATACACTGGCGTATCGTGGCCATGGATGTATGGCGACATGCGGCTATCCTTGAAACGGCAGTACCCTTCCCAGCCTTCCAGGGCCCAGACCACAAATTCGAGGAAAAGACAACCTAGTGTCCATATGTCAAAGGATCTGGAAATGCGACCATCGTTGCCATCAATATCACATTCTGGAGGTCTATAGTTTGGAGAGACTGGGATCTGCGCTCCTGGCCTGTTCGATCGCGATTCTATTCGGTGGGTTCTGGTCAAGCCAAGGTCAGAGAGAACCAAGTTCCCTCGATCATAGGGTGAACTGAACCAGAGAATATTCTCGGGTTTGATGTCTCCATGTCTACCGTAGAGCCGATTGCCGTCTGCGTCCAACACTTTGGGGTCGTGTATGAACTGGAGCGCGTCGGTGATACCAAGCAATTGCCTTGCGATCCACTTGCACAGCTGATGGTCTCTCGCAAGACTTGTTTTCCGGCGCCAAAACTCCAATAAATCGCAATCGGCCCAAGGAAACAGGAGAGAGTATTCGGTCTCACCAGCTGTTTCCCGGGCAAAGGTAGCAAGCAACGTCACAATGTGAGGATGCCGACCCCCGAAACGCTTCAAGTGTTTCACTTCTTGTTCAAATTCTTGCTTGTCCGAGATGTACAGTCGCTTGAGTGCGAAGCAGCTAGGGCTTGCCGAGAGCTAAACATGCGTGTAAGCTTCCAGTTCGTAGGTGTGCGGGTATCCTTATGCCCCAAAATGGACTCTACATTACATTCTTGAGGGTTTCGTCAAAGTGATGTTGCCAGGCATGGATCACAATCTGCTTGACCTCGCCAAAGCCACCACCTAGAGTGATGGTTGGTCCATCGGTCGACGATTCTGGAATTCTGTTTTGTATGGCAATCCAGGGAACGATTTGTTTGGCCATGAAGTCATAGTGTGATACCTCTCCAGGAACGTCTGTCTTCATTAGGATGGGAATCAAGAGGCGGTATTGATAGTCGTAGAAATCCTTGATGCACCGGATACGCCACTTTTGGAAGGGCCTAGCAGAAGTTTTGCTTTCCCCTGACTGATAACTATCGATCAGACTCTGCGTCAATGGCAACCTAGAATCGTCAATACCCTCATCTACAAAGCTTCCGAGGTCCCTAGCCATGTCGAGAAAAATCAGTATGGCTAGTATGAGCCGATATCCTCGACCATCTACACCACCACCGCAGACCTTCTCTGTCCAAGACTCGCGACACTCGGCTTCCGTTTCACTACGTTTGACCTGTAGTGCGCCTTCGTCGATAAGCTCCTTGATGACGCCAGAAACGGCCTGTCGATCGAAAAGATATTGAAAGAGTCTTCTTGGCCAAAACGATCGATAGGTTTCGGTGGTATCAAATGGATCGACAACTGCGTGTCGATGAAGCCTTTTGTCCAGATAGTCCTGGATGTTGTCATTTTCCGGGATAGTCTCTGGAGAGGGCAAAGTTGGTGTTATCCATGCTGAGACCAACGACATATGGTCGTCAACATCAAGCTCGAGCAGGCCGTTGACATGAATTGAAGGAGGTGCTGGAGTGGTCATGATATCAAAAGAAAAAAGGTATGTTGAAACAAATATCTGGCTGTTTTCCCGGGTATTTTTCCATTACTTTAGATGAGAATCTGTCGAAATTGAAAGTTTCCTCCATCTTACAGTTGAGAGTTCCCGCATGATAAAATACCACAGCAAGGCTTACTTAAATAGATAATAGAGATTTCACATTTGCATCTTCAGTTACCGATTAGAATCCATTGGTAGTCAGATCACAGTGGCTTTCACACCGCAAGTCCGGGTAATATCAAGCACACCATCTTCCTCGCTGGTGAGGTTGTGGTTGTCGACGAATGGTTGACCGTTAATTTGAAATATCACCAGGAAAGATGTTCGACCAGCACGGACCAGATCAGCCATCGAAGAAGCAGCCTTGAAGTTGAGGTGACGGTGTAACCAGCTTTTACAACAGCAAAAATGTGGGTGGCGGGCTCATTAGTATGATTGGATGCCTGACAGGTTGCCTATCGCAAGGCTTTTCTCGAGTGTCACACGGTTGATGACGCGCATTTAAATGGCACTGGCAAGACGCAGGCTACAGCCTGATTGAATCCCATTTCTCTGCACCTTGTGTATTGCCTCCCGAGCGGGCAGAGTTCGCTGCTTCTTTCTTGTGATGGGTGGGAAAAGATTGTGAGAATCAGACATCGAAACTCACCGGAACTTGTTAGGTCTGTACATACCTTCGAATCTCGTGCAAGGCAAGCAACGACAAGAAATGGGGATCAACGAACCAACAGCATTTGCGGCCACAAATAGTTGCAACATATGTTTGAAATATCTATGGCGGCTCTCGCAGCTTAGGCGTGCTTTGGAAGAAATAAAAAAAGAATCAAAAACCATTACTTCTCCTGATTGTCTTTGTGAGCAATCTTTCCCACCCCGGCCTTGCTCCAAGATTCATTTAACGAAATTTCCATTCAAGTGAGCTTTCATATCTGGATGAGTCTTTGGTTTACCAATATTAGATTAAGCATTTTAACGAACGAGACTACAGTGACTCGTACTCACCACGTCTAATCGTTTCTGACACCCCTGTGCTTTAATGCAATACACATTTTGACGTGTCTACTCGCAATGCCAAAGGGTGTTAACTTAGCAAACATCGCGTGATTTTCGATAGACTCAACATACGTAATGACTGGAAGGTTGCAGCTGTACGATGTTTACCACTTACCTCAACGGAGAATTTTCCATCGCCGTAAAATGTGTTCAGGTAACGAGACAGCCCATGTGGGCTTTTAACAAGTTTACAGTGGATTTCCTGCCATCCATCGTTCGCCATTGCTGTCGTATTAATACTGCTTTCCGCCGGAGTAGACATAACAGACCGATGTTCTCAGAAATTCCGGGAAAAGATAGTCTTGGATCGGAAGATGGTTGTATTCTTTCGAAGTCAGGAGAGCTGGCACCTAGTCGAGAAGGCTCGCTTTAGGGAAACAAGTATGGTATGAGGAGATTGCGGCCATCAGGTGGTGTTGTCTTCAGGGAAATCAACCTTTTATCGTTTTCTTCTACTGTTATAGAGCCTGATCGACCCATCGCGGATTTTTAGGGGGCCGCGGCAGCCTGACACATCGTTACGGACGGGCTGACGGGAGGTTGAGCGACAAGCAAGCAATGTGCGATCTCATTCCTCCCTACTTTTTCCACTTTCGTATCCTCCCTCGCCCCCCATACGGGCCGCAATTGGAATAGGTTCACCGAGCCAGTGACAGCATGATGCTACCCAATGGTGCAAGTATCTGCCTCTGGAAACGAAGTTGTCTCGGAAGAGTTCAGCTGCCTTGTCTTGTGGCGGTGGCTGCGACCTTCCTACAGGCTTGGCTCGAGCCCACAGAACACCGTGGTAGGTCAGGACATGATGATATTGCTAGCTGCACTAAGAAAATAGCTTAGGGCTTCATATTTTGCGATTTGGCCCCCAGCTTCTGGGGCTTTACTCGTAGCCTGCTTCTGGCGTGGTTGTCTTGTTGTCTCTGCTCTCTTGGGTGTGAGGCATTGCTTCAGACCCCTGCAACCCTGTGTCTGACCCATTTCCACCCGTCCAGAATGAAGAACGAAAGAGATTTGAGATGGCACATCTCCAGAGCCTATAGATCGATATATCAGGCCGCTTCCATCTCATTTGACGACTGCAGTCCTCGCCGAATCGTCTCGACCCAACGCGACCCATTGTACAAATCTTGAAACTCCACTTAGTCCGCTAGAACGGTGCAATCAATCATATGCTCGCATAATGGCTGATCCTTTGGACTCCGATGGGAGCCTTGAACTCGGGCGTGCTGTCTCGACTGTGAGTAGACTCTGCCCTGTGCGGCACTGCATGGCCGTCTCGTAATATCCTGGCTCTGCGAGAGAAACAACTTTCCCGCTTCTGCCCGTCTCCACTCGATGCATAAGTATCTGCTAACATCACATGCACCTTCAAGACAACGCCCAGAGTGAACATAGAGATAGCCGCATGGAAATCGGATGCAGCGTTCTCAAGCAACGATCATGTCACTTATCCCACACAATCTCACGGCAATCCTCTGTCACGACAGTCTCCTACGGCATCAAGTAATCAAAAACTTGGACTAGACATCCCGGATGGGGTCAGCGCCCATACACAGAACGATCGAGGCTACGCTGCGGCAGTAGAGGTCTTCAACTCGCTATCGCCCCGCTCCCATGGCATTCCAAAGAGTACGGAGGAAAGTGACCTGAAGGGAATAGGGTCCCATCTAATACATGGCACCTCAACCCACAGCGACACAACAGTTGTCGCATCGATGAGTCTTGAAGTCAGCAACTGCCTCACGTATTATGCTGGAAAAGAAGACGGGCCGGACTGGCTCCCTGTGACGGATCTGCTCAGAATCTTCACTAGAGGCTCTGTGCTTCAAGCTCTACAAGAGGTTCTTCCCAGCGAAGAACCATTTGGCATGACTCTGCAGACGTATGCAGGAAAGATTTGCCCTGATCCGGATTCAGATAGCAGCGTCGGCTCGCGGAGTTTGTTCGCCATTCTTGTTCATCTGGGGAAAGTAGAAGAGATACGGGAGTTCATCGACCGAGATCTCACGGACGACAACCTGCCGTTTGCCAAACAACCTGGAGCAAAGGATCCCATTGGCCGACTTTACCCAAAGGATCTTCCTGTTGGAGAGCTAGCTTGCTGGGACTTTGGAAGTCAATGGCGCCCCAGCGATTGGACCGCATTCAATACATACCAAAAGAAAATGCGCTCACCATTCTTCTTACTTGAAGACAGTCGAAACAAAATACCACACTACGACCTGGAAACCGGAACCGTTCTTCCATTCATTAAGGATTACGGACTGAGAGAAACGACTCGATACAGCCAGGTGCGGTGTGTCGAAATACACCCGGGGCACTTTAGAATTTGCAATGTATTATATCTTGGTCTTCTTTTTCCGAGAGCTTAGCTAATCAGAAAATCAGGGAAATAACGATAAGACTCAATATTTTGCCGTCAAACAACTTTTGCCTGAGCAGGATAACTCACAGCACAGTCGAGAATCCAATTTCCGAGAAGAAGTCAGGGCTTTGACAAAGATTGTCAGCCACTCGAGCCACGATCATGTTATCAGGCTTTTGGCAACATGGAAACAGGGTGATACATGGAGTATGCTTTTCCCTTGGGCCAAGAGCAACCTTAAAGAGTACTGGGTAAGAAATCGGCCATTAGCGATGCCAGAGTCCCTTCAGTGGCTGGCTGCCCAATGCCGTGGGCTAGCTGAAGGCCTGCAGAAAATCCACAGGAGTCCTTCCGAGCATGCTACAGATTTTGGAATACACGGGGATATCAAGCCCGAGAACATTCTTCTCTTTCAGAATGAGAGGTACCCTGACGGTATTTTAGTCATCAGTGACTTCGGATTTACTCGATTTCATGGCCGAGACACTCGATCAAACAAACCCGCTGTTGGCTACAGTCCCACGCATCGGGCCCCCGAAGTAGACATGGACCTTCACCATCCTATTTCTCGGTCTTACGACATATGGGCTTTGGGTTGCGTGTTTCTGGAATTCATCACTTGGTATCTCACTGGACCAGATGGCGTCAGTACAGAATTTGTGAAACGTAGAGTGAGGGATGATGTCGGAGCATACCCAATCAGGTTTGACAAGTTCTTTAACATGCGAGTCTTTGCGGACGGGAAGAAAGAGGCGGAAGTAAAAGCATCAGTCCTGAAGGTACGCTATGCTGACTGCAACACCATCCTTAATACTATTTGAATTAGGGATTCCTGCTCAAATATTAACACCGCCATAGTGGATTGACGAGTTGCGCGACAAACACAACTGCGGCCAATACTTCAAGGAATTTCTTACCTTCATTCACGACGACATGTTATCTGTCGATCCCAAAGGCCGCGCGAAATGCGACAAAGTTGCCACCGAGTTGAGAACTCTGGAGTTTTTGTGTGGGGGGAAAGAAACCGAGTCCTCAGAGGGCCCAAGTGCCTCCAAGGCTCAATCTTCGTCGCCAACCCGAAGTCGCTACGCTCAACACTGTCTCACCAGCCCTACACGAGGTCAGAAATGCGATGAAACCTGGGGTCTTTGGAGCCAGCGGTGGTCAAATTCATCCAAAGACCAAGGCAAACCAAGCGAGTCAATGACAAACATTGCGGCAGCTTTCCCAGTTCAAAACGAGCGGCCTTACGAGCCAGCTCAAGACAATGAAGTGCTTGATACGATCGTGAGAAGTGCAGAAGTATCTTCAGCAGACATAGATGGGCCATCTCCTGTCGTCGATTCTACAAGATCTGACCTCCCTTGTCAGCCGCAACCGTCTCTTGACCAGACCACAGCGAAGCGCACAACACCTTTGCCAAATCTCAGACTCAGGCTTGATATCAAGCATCAAACAACGGCCTATCGACATAGTACCACAACGGATAGCGATGAGACTAGAGCGGCCGAAGCTCTGGCGGAGTTACAGAACGATCCGAGAGATAAATGTAGTGACCCAGTTGGGCTACACTCTCCTCATCATCACAATCAGGAACAGGAAGGCGACAAATTTGTATTAAAAGCAATGCTCAAATGGTGCTTCCCATGCTCCAAACCATGAGTCACTGCAATGATTGTTGTTTGAAGATGTTTAAATACCCAGTCAATGCACTTCTGAGACTTTTGGTTTTTTCTGCTTCAGAATCATTGGCCTCAATATGAGATACAATTCCTTTACACGTGATAAAACGTTGGAATCAAAGGCTCGAATGATAGTAAGACTGTTAATTAAGGTCCGATGGACTTTATCGCCTTGAAACGTATCTTCTTGAACCCACGTTCAACATCTAAATATTCTCTTCACCTCAGCTATCAGACGCTGATCCATCTTGCCATCCACGTTCTGGTGATCTGCTTGGCTTCATCAACGAGACCAAGATCCAATAACATTTGAACAGTGCCACGAGTGGAACTCTCAAGAGCACTGAAGACCCACGAATGGGTGAAACTGGTGTGCTCACCGATAAAGACCGTGTTGAACTCAGTCTGCCAGAAGGCCGGCAGGTAGAGCTGTTGTTGGGGAACAATGGGAACGGCAAAAGCTCCCGCATGATGCTCATCCTGCTCCCAACAGTGACGCTCATAGTTGCCAGTCCACATCTCATCAGCAATGGGGCCGTGAATCTCGACCATAGCGCGCTGGATGTAGGCAATGTGCTCCTCAACAGGCATGGAGCAAGCGACAACCGCGTCAGCGTCGGGCGCATAACTCGTAAGCATGACACCAGGGCCCGTTCCGTTGATGTTGTAGGAAGGGTAGCAAATCTGGCCGATGCCGTAAATGTCGGTACGTCCACAGCCACCGATGATGGGGTGCTCGAGGTGCTCCCAGAAGCGAGTCTTGTACTGCATGGCAACCTTCACGGCACCCAGGAAGACTGTGCGCTCAATGGCACGGCGCATCAAGCTAGAGTGAGGCGGCAGCTCCCAGTACTTGAGTACGTTGAACGGTACGCTGTTGAAGACATAATCAAACTGTTCGGTCGTAGTGTTCTTGGACCAGGGGTTGCCTCCAGTCTCACGCCACGTGACGTTGAGGTTGTTGGAGTCCTCGTTGTACTTGACGCTAAAGACCTTAGTCTTGTAGGCGATGCGGTCTTTGATAATATTTTCAAACGCAGCGGGGAGACGGCTGATACCTCCATCAACTGTGCGCCACTCATTGGCCAGGAAGTAGACAGTCTCGAACTCCCACATGGGCCAGACGACGTGAGACGGGGTAACCTCATCGGTCACATTCAGGTCGGTGTTCATAACGTGGAGGAGGTACTCGACCTCAGAGAAATCGAACATGCCAGTCTCAACAGCCTCCTTGTGGGCCTTGAAGACATTGGTAGCGTAGAACTTCCGTCTCTCGGGCGTCAAAGCCTTGAAGTCATCAAGAGCCTGGATGGCTTCCTTGGCTGCGGTAGCGTTGGAGTAGGTCGTGTTGGTCATGAGGGAGGGGTCGGCGGCGATCTCCTTGCGACCGGGGACAGTGCCATCGGGACGGCGCTCCTTGGTTGCAACAGGGGCATTGTCGGAAACCTGGATCCACGGGATGAACTTGACTTGGAGAGCGGGATCCGCGTCAGCGTTAATCTCGTTGAGGACATCCGCCAGCTGGTAGATCATCTTCTGATCGTTGATGGGGTAGGTCTCGTTGGTTTCAGCATCGTAAATGCTGTGCGGAAACCGCATAGGTCCTAGCTCGTGGTGCTGATGCTCGTCCGGAGTCGATCCGTTTAGGTAGGTGGTGCGAATACGTCCACCGACTCTTTCTGAAGACTCCAGAATCTTCCAGTTATGAATTCCTACTGAGTCGAGTAGCAACTGTGGCTCTAGTCAGCTTCTTCTCCCGAATGAAAGGTCTATGAAAACTTACGCCAGTGTGCAGACCGGAGATGCCGGCGCCCAAGATACCAAACGTTTTGTTCTTTACCGATGCAACAAACACATCGTCGGGTTGCTTCTGCTTGAGGTACTCAACGCCATCAAACCAGGGGCCCATTGGGTCCGTGGCCTCGGCAAAAGTCGCACGCTTTTTCATCTTGCGACTCTTAACAGAGTGTTCTGAAGAGCGGCCGACAAGCTGGCTGTCAACAAAGGCGTGCAAGCATCCCGAAGACACATCCTCAGGCACCATCCAGACAAACTTTGTAGGACTTTGATCTGTCCATTCCAGATGACGCTTTGCAGCAGGGTGAGAGCCAATGTGTGTCCGCCCAATCTTGTGATGGGCTTCGAAGGGGGATCTTATTCCACAATCACCATAGACAAGGGATAGCTCTCCATCGAGAGGACCATTGTACTCGATGTTGATGTTGCGAACTCCGTTTCTCTCGACTTCAAACGGACCCTGAAAAGAGACCGTCTCGCGGAATACGGGTTCCGCAACAGCCGTCTGGCAAAGACTGGCTGCGGCAGTGAGGAGAGTTGACCAACGGGCAGCCATGTTGACTATGGCAGATTTTGAGAGCAAGCTTGACAAACGGTGAGAAGTTCAAGAGGCTCAAGGCTGATGCCCGTGATTAAAACCTGCTCTTTATATGGCTGTCTGCCGAACGCTTCCCTACCTTGACTATGCATGAGGCTCAACCAAGTGAGGTTTTGATAAGCACCCGGATGGACATATTGGAGGCTTAGCAGATCTCTAAAGGCTGGGCATCATCTAATTAGATTGACTCAAGTCCCGTCACCGAGGTTTTCGGGGTGCGGAGGTTGCGTTTAGTCGAGTTTTCGTGTCATGTTGCGCAGGACCGGTTACCGACTATCAGGGCACAACTCCGCAATCACTGTAACAACGTGGGAGACATGCCCGAAGACGGCGCAAGCGACCACAGAGAACGTGGAAAATTCTAATCGCGCATAGGTCATGACGGGGGTCAGAGTTCTCGCTTCTTTGGAGTTCATATCGTTGGTGTCTTGGCGGGAGGGACGCTGCATGGGCCCGGCCTTGCTTACTATCCCGGCATCGGAACCGCGGGGAACCCTAGCTTGCTTGCGGGTTGCGAAAACCGACCATCGGCTCTTATTTGTTCTAACGCCTTATCTTGGTTGAATTTCGACCGTATCCTCTCGCGGCTTGACCTGCATGGGAATGGCACCAGAGTTGCGTGGCGGTAATGACGAGCGAGAGCAGACGATGGGAACAGGAAGTTGGATAATGTAGAGAAGCATTCGCTTGAGCGGTGTTAGGTAATGGGTTGCGCGCAATTCTGTAAAATGGGGCCCCCCGTGGTGGATATCCGTAGGCCCGTTACCCCATCAGGCAAGTCAAATACTTGAACCCTTTTGGGACTTGAGTCGTAGCCAACTACCAATGTCTAGGACTCTAGGAAGTTGCGGATTACCCTCAGTCTTTCGTTGATAGGATGCTGTAATTGCTTACTAGAGCTGTCAATCTTTGAAAGTTTGGCAGCTCCGGCCGAATGTCAATGCCGACGTTGCCAATGCAAAGCGGTGTATGTGTGGGTCGCCGGTTAAATGTGTCAATTCTCATTGCCATCGCCAAGACAGCAAAATCGGGGTCGACAAGGCCGGATCTCTTGGCTAGAGATAACTTATCTTCATGTCAGCAATTGCCGACCGGATGCTCAGGAATGCGTTATCATGCGAAACCTCGCTGTAAGAGACTGCATGCATCTTGACACCGGCACGGTCCGTCCTTCCTATACCGGCCCGGATGACATGGAGATACTTTTCACGGTACCGACTTGACTTGCTTGGAGGTAACCTCACTACAGTCGCATTTTGAACGCCCAGCACCTAAAACTTCCTGTCCTTAGGCTTGCTTGGGCGGTGATTTGTTAGCGACGGTGTCATGGGTCGAACGGCTTTCACAAAACCATCGATTGCTTTTCGGCCCGCAAAGCTGGTGTGACGGTTCGTCTCCTTCCTTTAGCAAGCAATCAATTGAAGAGATAAGTGAGGTAGAATCAGCTATTAAGAAGAATGACGGTTTCCATCTGGGACTTAACACCCATGCAGACATCAAATCAGCTACTCGTCATTCTAATCCTGCTCATGTTGTTACCCAGATCATGCCTTTGTACGTATTTCGCATGCAACTCCTCCGTTGTGCGAGTAAGTGAATAAGATCCTGGAAATCATATAGCACATCTCTCATGCAGTTTTAAAGCAAGCTTTTGAAATCCTCAACTAGTCAATGAACAGCAATTGCCAGATTTCATGGTACTCATACCACGGTTGACGGTCAACGTTACACCTAGCTCGTAGAA